TTACAGTACAACACCCGCAAACACAACCATTTTATTTTTTATCTCAGTGATAAAAGGACAATGATCAAAAGGAAATCCCTGAAGTCTTGATTGAATCGACTGATGTCTTGCAATAATTTTAGGTGATGAAGTTTCAAATGGTTGACAGATGTATGACAATTGCTCAATCTCTTGTAATTTGTAGGGCTTGGTCTACTTTATGGTGCTGTCTGTTTGCTCACTTACAGACTAAGTAATGATAATTCAACAATGACATTATATCAGGGTCAACTAGAAAGTAATGCTGCCAATGTATTTAAAATAATTCTCACAGGACAACAATTAAACCTTTGGTGCTATAAGATTTAACTTTCCTATTTCCTGTTGCAGTGCTCTGAAATAGTCCCCTTGAGCGCCATAACAAATAAATTTTGAACTAGAAAAAAGTGGGACATTACTTTCTGTGTTAATCTTGTAGAAAGGGGACAATTCTAACAGATCTAAAAGTCTTCATGAAAGATTATATTTTACTTCTGGTTTTCATGCAAATCACTGAAGGCTATATAGCAGCTTCATAGCTTGTATAAGAGAGTTATACAACTCACAATTGCACAATATTATATTATGTTTATTATATTAAAACTGATGTGATAATGTCTAACATTACAGTCAAACTGAGCAATAACTTGGGAATTATAGTGACATCAGTTTACTTCTACTATGAGAGTATGGAGTACATGTGACATAGCATTCAAACTACGTAACTACAGCTTGCACACACAGTTGTAGCCAACTAATTAATCAAAAACATTAAATTGCATTCCAAACTTACATATTCAATTACCTCCTGAATTTTGACCGTGAAACCTTTCTTGTTGGCATTACATGTTCATCCAGTCGTGCAATAGTCTCTTGGTATCAGAAAATGTTAATGCATTACCCAGGGATCTATTTTAACAATAAAGATCGTGGAAGCTCCCAAATGGCTCATCTGGTAAAGATACAAAACTCCACGCCAAGGTCACATTAGCCATCAGTGACAGACTGCACAAGAGGCTCAGTACAGCTGGCACAGGTCGTGAGTAAGTTTGGGTTAAGCCCATGTAACTTTTTGAGTGATATGTCAATGAGGGACACATGTTTTCCACCCACAGTGAAGATCCTGTACGTCACTGTGGAGCTACCAGAATTAAAGTCCACAGAGTGGACAGTCTGGGGAAGCCTCATTCTCCCCGTGTGAGCAGAGCATTTGTCGAGAAATAAAGATGGCTGGGAATTCCAAAAAAGAGTGAGCAATAAGAACATAGCTATTTAAAAAATGAAAATTGGGACATAGAAATCCACAAACTTTAATGCAAGAACACTTTGAAAATGAATTATTTATAGGTGCCTTATTTTTCTCAACAGATGAAATGGAGCACTTAATTTACTGTTTACCAAGCTACTGTACAGAAAACATCATAACAGAATATTTCTCTTTTAACTGTGGAATTGTATGGTTCCAGACAAACACTGTATTAAGGAGGGATGGGTGAAAGAGGAGCCTGACTAGGATGTATGGGCCATCAGAACTGTACCTAGAAAAGCTGTCCAGTGTTTGCAATGAGATGTTCCAAGAGGAGTAATATAAATAGAAGTTAAACTCTCTACCACACCAAAACACCAAAAATATGGGCACTCTTCCTCTCTATTTCCCTGCCACTGGGATGTGTGAATACACTAGCAGGTTCGACCAATATAGTTGCATGTACCTTCGGCCTCAAGATTTATTATTTTGCCTGTGGCCTACTGCCAGGACAAGCTGCAAGTTAGTCTGGCTGTGATATATGAACAGCTTCATTAAATACTCAATAACAAGATCGACTGCCCACCCTGTTTGGCAGCGACTCAGCCCAATCTTCAAACAAAGGGAAACCTCGAAAACAATCAAGTCCACCAAATAATTTACTTTCATTCGATCCTCAATTTGCTTTTATTCTTCCCACAAACTGAAAGAGCTCACCAAAGTCTTTCAAAATATATAAGCCCCTCAGGGACAAACCCATCTGCCCTTGACTCCACATTCACCTCAATGACATTTCACTCTGCACATGCTTTCACACAGAATGCCACCTCATTCCACCTGATCCTGTATATACTGTAGCTGTGCACTTGTCCATGGATTGCATCCCTGTTAAATACTATACAGGCAAAGCCCTCCAGATACTATAATTTCTATTCCAGCATCATTCCTTTTAGCTACACCACTGAAAGGACAGCACTGTGACATGATTACAGGTTCTATCTGTATTTAAAAAATAAATGGAATTAAAATACTTATACCAAAGTACCGTCTTGCAGTAAAAACCGAAGTTATAGAACTAATTAAAAACAAACTTTGAAATGAATTTGTTTAAAAAAAGCCCAAGGCTTGGATGCTTTTTATTTATTTGATCATTTATTTGCCTGAGAAAGCTGCAGAAATACCATGGTAAACCCTCTAAACTGTTTGAAGGTAGAAAAAGGCCTAAATCTACAAAAATGTTCAGACACCATTAAAAACTGTTCACACCATGTCATGGAATTCATAATTGTCTATTTTGCTGAGTAAGAACAAAAATATATATTTAAGAATCAAGCCACTTGTTATTTAAAATAATACTTCTTTAAAGGCCTGCTAGATATTGGGTCCGGAATCCTTGTTTAAGCTATGCAGATGCAGAAATGTGAAAGAAGCTGTCCTGGTCCTGGTCGATGAACTGATGAGTGTAATAAATTAATCCATGACACTTACGTTTGTATTTGTTTCCAACATAACTACTATACAATTTATAATGTAGCAATGACTGCAAATGGGGATAATCACTTGCAATTATGACAATAGACGATTGCCAAACCACACTTAAATTATTCCCTCTGGACAGTGATAAATAAGGACTGAGGTCATGGTTACAAGAATTACTCCTTATTCAGTTTAAACTGTAAGAGATTATTTCTGAAAGGTACAGTAGCTCCTTAGGTATAAATAACGTTTTGACAGGAAATCCCCTCTCCCAAAATAAACTGTGCTAATTTTTATTATTACACATAACTGCATTAATACATGAATATATAATTAATTTTTATTCCTTGCTGGTAACATATAAACAGATGTAGTTAAGTGTATATTATAAACTTTTGGGCACTTAAAGACTACAGTGGAAAACAAACATGAAAGGCTCTTTTGAAACCACAGGCCTAGAGGCAGGTTTAAAAACAGCAGCAGAGACATGAATAATCTAATGTGTCAAAGAATAACAGAGAGGGAGAAACTGTCCTTGTATCCAAACTGTGGCTGACATATGCTTGGTCTTATAAATATCACGTATAAGCAGGGAATTAGAAAACATCACAGACCCTGTCAAAACAGGCCGTGTCAAATACAATCCCTGAGATTAAAAGGTTAAAAAAAACTTTAAATCACTAATGTCATTTGACTACATGTTCCTTTTAAAAATATAATGAATTTGATGTTCCAATGAATCAAAACAGTATTGCTTGCAGTTGCATAAGACTGCTCACTGTGTATTACGTGTTGGAGGAACCGCACTGGCAGAAAACTCTGCTCAAAGCCTCTTTTATTAGACCCTTAAGCCATTAAACAGACAGTGCTTGTCACCAGAGGCTACCAGCATTAAGGTGAATAGAGCCCTTCAAAGCCATCAGGGTGAATGGCGCCTTCAACAAGGTACAGTGTATCAAGGATTCTCTTCTGCTTTTTGCTGAAGTTACACAACTAGAAGCTGAGAAGCAACAAGGCCTACAAAATTGTTATTTATAATCATCTTATATAAGTAAAAATATGGGGCTCCGACTTCCATTCAGTACAGAAAGCTATACACGCCATTCCCCTCATCCAGACAGCAGTTAAACTTTCAAGTCCTTCACGTGAAATGTAATCTGAAAAATATGAAGGTACTGTACAAGATCATGGGGAAAATGTACATACATACAAGCTTAAAAAACTGCAAATAAAAAACCAATCTGTACAGTACACACCATTTAATCATCCCAACATCAACCAGCTTACAAACTTTTGATTGGACATGAACAGTTGTTAATAATTAAAGGACAGTAGAGCATATATCACATATTAGAGCAAAGGATATTAGAGCGATCTTACAGATCATTTAGATGCCTCATCAGAAATTAAAACTGCAGCAATACCAGACAATATGATTGGGTATTTTACAAACTATGCATCTTTGAAGTAGTATACATACCTCTATTATATGTTCTCTTGCTAAAGAAATATTTTCTTAAGAATTAAGATAAATAAAGAATTATTCCCCAATGGTCTACTTTATAAGTAAACATAAATTACTAAATACATAGAATTGTGCTAAGTCTAATGTTTGCAAGGTTCATGAAAATCGAGGATGAATGTCTGAATATTTCAGTGAATTGTGATAGAATTACATTTGGGAGTATTTGAGAACCTGGCATTTGTACAGCTGATGCCTTAATGAAGATATTAATGAGTCTAGAATTTCTTCCACTGTACTAGAATTTCAGGGGTTCCACAGCAACCACACTAACAGTTTAGGCTGAAATTAAAAGAAATCAAAGAACTGAATGATTTAAATTGTTATTCAGCATTTCAGAGCATGTCAGATTTTGGAGAAGAAAGTGTTATTTTAAACATACAATTCAGTAATATGGCATTATTGCTGAGCTATATAAAATATACAAATTTACTGTCAATGTTCAACAACTGCCACAATATGCCATTTTTTGCCATACAATTAATTTCATAGAAATTTTAATATTATTGGCACAGAAAAAGAGAGATCAGAAATACTACATAGTGAAACTGTAACCAGAAAAACACCACATCACACATGGATTTACATTTACCACTGCTAAAATGCCATTCATGCTGTCTGACAATGGTTTATCTGTTCATATTTGGGATACTGAGGCGGAAAGTGGAATCCCACTGTCCGATGCTCCCAATGGCCCTTTGAAATGACAGAGAAAACAAAAATAGGCTGCCTGCTTACCTTTCTGCTTCCTGAAATTGCCATTCTTTTGCTGCTCATCCTCTTCGTTAATTGTAAACAGGCTCGGGAGGTTTGGCCTCGCACCTGGCTTCTTAAACCTCTCCTGTCGGACTGTACTCACCGAGCCAGGCATACTGCTGATGTATATGTATTTTTCTTAAAAAAACGCTGATCCTTCAGCTCCAGCAAAGCTAGCTAGCTAGCACTGTAGCAGCCTGTTCATTTGTGCATTTTAAACAAAACCCCTTTGGGTAAAGCACGAGAGCAGCTGACTTGAGCTGACATCCAGTCGATGAGCATGCAAAGCAAAAAAAAAAAAATCGGGCCTTGCAGTTCTCTCCCAGCCCAGAGGAGAATCCCTAATCCAGCATCACCGTGGCAAGAGGGATGCTGCTGGTGTGCTCCTGCTGCAGCAGATGCTGCTTCCTCCTCAAGGTCTGGCCTGTGCAATCAGATCCTTGTGCACCAGCTTCTCCTTCCTGCCAGAAGAATCCTTGCTTTTTTTCTTTTCGCGCCGCCTGTACTTCACAATTCATTCCAGCAAACAGGGAACTGAAATATTCAGCATGGCACAAAAGGCAGGAAAATATGATACGCCGTTGTAAACGGTTGCCCGGACGACAGCAACATGTCACTTAATGAAAGGGTAGAAGCTGGAAACGTCTCAGTCAGGTGGGTGGAACATTCCGCAGGAATGCTTCAAGATGTACAAATAGGGTACCATAGATGCAGCGTCTACAGTACAGAACAATACAGCTGCCTTGATAATATCACATGGCTGCAAGCTCTGCTCCTCTTTCAATCAGTTGTGAAATGTGTCCATTCCCATATACTGATGTAAAGTTGATGGAAGTACCCAGCAGACTGAGAATCTAAGTTACAAGCGGCACTTTTAGAGCACACACCACTCGATGGGAGAGTAGCTAACAAACACTTCTAGGTGTTCTGCAAATGAAATGGTTTGAAGGCATAACACACCCATAGTTACCAATTTAAATAGTTTCCGTCAATAAAGATATGGTAACTGCCTGCCTCCTCCCCACTCCCAGCATTCTCCTTGTCTTCTGCCACCTTTCCATCTTTGCTTATCAGATTATGCAAAGAGGAAACCTATTTACATGATTGAAATTCAGGACCTAAAATATCACTTTAGGGAAGATTTTTATTTTCTTTTAACTCATTTCACCTCCCCATGTTAATTAAGTTTGCATTCTCAATAGCCTTGAAAAAAATAAATTTCAGAAAACTAGGAGCTAGATATTCTAGGGAATATTAACTTCATAACAGCAAGAATATTAAAGAGATATTAAAATACACAACTTGACAAAACACTGTTCTGCCTTATTGCTTTAATGTTTCCTCATTATTACCATTACCGTTTCTTAACCCAGCTTCTAAAAGCCAATGTTTACAAACTGAAGGAGATACTTGAATTAAGAAAAACTCCCAGAGCTTATCACTGAGACAGAAGGATCTAATGACAACTTATACAGTAGTATTCCCGAGGTTCGTAAGATCAAATCATACTATTAATGACTGAATTTCAATTATCTTTAATGAGCGAATTCTTACAAAGCAAGCAGAAGGCAGCTTGTATAAGACTATAGCTAAACCAGCTCAAAAATGATCATATCTTTATATACTTGTCTTAATTTTCCCAAGACAACTGAAAGGTTTTTTTTTAATTACATTAACAGTTAACCTCTTTGAAGATTTTACTTTAAATAAACTGACAATAAAATCAAAAGCTGGCAGGATCAGGAAAAGCAATGCTGGGTCTTAAGGGATTCATTGTACTTTGAAAATTAAAATGTAATGGCAAAAGAACTGTGTAATACAAAAGGATAGAGCTTATTCAGAAACATTTAAGCACATTCAGCTGGACACATTCGTAAAAGCATGATTTAAAGACAGAAAAATAGAACACAAAGAGGGGTCAGCCTAGATGAATCTCAGTTTCACAGTCAATGCTCCTTCCAAATGTGCCTAGTCTGCTGCTTGTTTATAGGATAGGCTTCTTCAGCTCTTTTAATTGCTACAGCAGCTTGTGATCCGTTTTTAATCAAAATCAGATCAGTGCTGTAAGCTTTCTTCTCCTGGGATCCTACTGAACTGGAATAAAAACGATACTTTTTGCTACATCTGACATTTTTGTTCAAAACATAGAAATACCTTATAATCTTCTTTCAGTAACCAAAGAATTACCAAAAGTCCTTTATGCAATGTCTTCTGGAATAAATACTTCCAAAAAATACAAAGCTGACAAAATGGACACTCTTCAATAGTAGAATGCTATATACAATACTACATACAGTACAGTTTACTCTAAGTGAGGCTTTAGCACAGAGTACATTTTCAACACTATACAAAAGGCACAGCAAGTCATTTAAATGAAAAGTGAGGGAATTATTTTCAAAATGTTTTTAACAGGTTTTAAAGTTTTGGGGTCAATGGTTTAAAACTTGATGACTAAAGAAGACCCATGTTTTCTAGAGATATTTTGTTTTATAAAAACACAGTAAAAGCTTCAGGAACTATTCAACAGCATCATATCTTCACAGATATGAAAAAAGACTAAGATGTAATACACTATAGCACACTGCTAAAGCTGTGGGTTACATCTGCTAGATTTAAACCTGGTTTGGGTAACCAAATGTAAAAATAAACAAGGATTTTTTTATTTAGCTTTAAATAAATGTATAAATCTGACTACATCTTAGCAATGAATTCTTTAAGCATGAAGAAAGGGCTGGGAAAAACTAAAAGAAAATAGCTTAGCAATGGAAATACGGTCGGCAAATTTTGAAGAAAAGAATTTGTTTCAAGGTTCACCATAATGAACAAATTAATACTGGAGGTTCATAAATTGAGTTAATAACTGAAATCCTTAAATAAGGTTTTAATTCTCTATGACAGGGTGGTACATCTCTGATCCAGGTCAGATGTGTTTGCTGGTTTGCATTCCAACTTAGGTCCTAATAACTAAATCAGTTCAGTTAACTGGACCAAACTTTCCTAGCTGTTCAGGTGTTGCTGCTTTAAAGAGACACATTGGCTCTCTAGTACCAGAGATTGCAGCCTGTAACCTTACTAATCCAGTGTAATTTACTTAAATTTATCAAGCGAGCAAAATGTAATTTTAATTCTTAATGATTCAGGCCTTTGTGCTACAAAAAGCTTTCAAAGCTTTGTCCACTAACCAAGAACTCAGGGTAGTTCTACACTTTTGAAAGGTCAGTAGATAGCCACTAAGTACAAACAAATGTACACCAAAATGATTTAATAAGTTCAGTGGGACATAAAGTATCCATGAAATGCCCCTGTGGTCAGACAAATACAGACTGACTGTAGTCAGTCTCATTGTTTCACCCGCCTGTTTTAAATAAGGCCCACCTACCCATCTCACATAATGGAAATGATTAGTCATTTCATGACCTCCCATCCTCTGTACATCTATGAAAGACTGGAGGAGGTCGTTTATTTACTTCATTGTTGGACAGAAATTTAACTGGCTGCCCCATAATCTGGTAAAGCTGAAGGGTTTTTTTCTTTGATATAAAAGGTTTACAAAACAAAGGCCTCTTATATTCATTGTTCCTGAATGGCTGCAATGTGAATGGTTAAAAAACCGAGCAACCCATGTCTGTAATAGGTGTAGCAACACTACATACTGTATAACAAATAGCACCAATTAACAAATGCATCTACTTCAATGTAAATTACGGAATATAATTACTTTTTATTCTTAAGGGGCACATGAGCTGTGCTGAGTATGTGTATTACCCATAAGGGTCTTTTAAGACAAAAAATGGACATCAATAAGGTTCTGAATTAATTTGGATACATTATTAAAAAAGTAAAAAATATTTTATTTTGTTGCAACCTTTTTCACACAATCTATAGAAGCTAACAATTCAGTTCTACAGAAGCAGACATTTAGGAAGGATACTTCCTTTTAAAGACAATATGGAAAGCAAATGGACTCAGGAGACTTAATTAAGTCATGTCTTAGATTATTCAACTCAGCAATGTCACACTGGAAATTAACTGCTGAAATCTGCATACATTTTACATTCTTTGGTAAAGGGAAGGTATTGTAAAGCAGAAACACATTCAGTATATAATACATAATTTAAACGCAACGGTGAAAAAGCAAAACCCTTTAAACAAATTAAACTTGATTAAGAACTAAGAATTACACATTTCTGTTCTGAAATGTTATGATGAGAAACAGATACTGTGTATGATGCGTTGTATCATAGAATAGGAACACATTGCTTGCAAATGAAAACTGGCCATATGGCCAATCTTATCTACTTGTATAACATCTTTGTATAAAAAGAGGCTTTCGTTTTTGATGCAGCAAGTGACAATATAAAAGGTTAAGACTCCTGGAACATCAGCTTGTCTTATTTCAGGAAGACTAGACTCCCCTGAAAAGTGTACTGGTTCATCACTGGGTACCACTCTGTTGAACAGACAGAGAATTATGGCTAGACCCTACCCTCACAATTAACTAGTAACACACTGGAGACTTGAACTCGTCTGTCTCCGTTCTGGTGCAGAGCTCTATCCACTACTTACTGTTGCTCACTCCATGCAACATAGTGTTGCAAATGTGAAGATAACATTAACAGCTGTTAACAATAAAGGGCGCTAGCAAAAATAATAAAAAGCTTTTAATTTCTCAAGTTTATCTGCAAGTGGCAGCTGGAGAATTATTCACTGCATTAGCAATCAGAAGATGGTAGGGGCATACAACAGAAATGTGCAAATGTAACATTTCTACTATGGGAAAACAAAGCTTTGTTTAATGCTTCAGTCACCTCGCAAGCTAACCAAGCATCTCTAATAAGCCAGCAGCCAAAACACTGCCAGACAGGGACAAGACGCATCCTTATTTATGTGACAAAAGGCACCTTGGATGATATGTAAAACTGAGGTTCTGACTTCCTGTGATCATTAAAAATTCCAGGACAGTTCTTGAAAAGAATAGGAGTGTAAGCTCCAGTGTCCTATTTATAAGTTCCCTCTGGCCTTTACAAGTCATTGGCCTCCTAATAATCCCCATCTATGAAATGGCATCATCACTCTGTTCTCCTCCCTATTAATAGCTGTTGCATGGTGAGTACTGGCACAATGTGGCTGCCATCACATCATGCAGGTTGGTGCTACACATTGGTGGAGGTCAAGAGGAGTTCCCATTACCTGTAAAAGGCTTTGTGTCTAGAAAAGCACTATGTAAGTGTGAGTATTATTATATGTGATGCCTGTATTGTACTGTATCTGTATTTGAATAAGCTCTTCACCAATGGAGGCGTCCTGTTTTTCATGGTGGTAAAACTAAGATTTTTCAGTTTAAAAACTGAAGACTTAACTGAAGGCAAAGCAAACAGAAATACAATGCAAAACCTATACTTGATATACCAAAATACCACATTCAGGTCTAATGAAATTTAATGTTTTAAGCTAAGATCTCAGAACAATCACAGAACATGTGAACTCAAATTAAATGCAAACTGGTTATAGTGCAGTACTGGTTAAAACATGGTCAGGCCACAGCTCACATTTCCATTATTAACTAAATTTGTCTCAAACACTTAGAATAAACAGTACAAAGTACACCAGTGCAGAAACTTAAAACGTGTGGTGGAGAAAATGAAAAAAGGTGGCACTCCAGCAGCATTTTCAAAGGATACACACCAGTGAGTGAGGTAAAGGTAAAGTTAGGTGGCCGTGACACTTTAAGATGTATTAAGTGGGGTGATGGGTTTCTATATGTGCAGGGGACGAA